TCCCAAGCCCTCTTATCTCCTATTTATACTGTGTATTGGCTGCTTTGCGGGTATTTCCAAAATCCCCCCTCCTACAAGGAGCCTTCCCAAGCCTTCTTACCTCCTATTTATACTGTGTATTGGCTGCTTTGTGGATATTTCTTTGCATGTTGTCTCCTCCATTGGATGGTAAGCTCCTGGAGGGCAGGGACTGTCTTTTGCTTTCTTTTGTATCCCCAGCACTTAGCAGGGTGCCTGGCACATAATGGGCACTTAGTAAGTGAATGAATGAACTTCTCTAACAGGGCTTCTGGGCTCACCACATGACCAGTTGCCCCCAGCAGTTCTAGAGCTGCACACTGAACCAGGGGCACCTATTTCTTTTTTTTTTTTTTTTTTGGTGAGGCAATCAGGGTTCAGTGACTTGCCAGGGTCACACAGCTAGTAAGTGTCAAGTGTCTGAGGTTAGATTTGAACTCAGGTCCTCCTGACTCCAAGGCCAGAGCTCTATCCACTGCGCCACCTAGCTGCTCCCAGGGCACCTATTTCTTGATGCTCCCAAATACTTTCCCTGAAAAGGCAACTATTGCTATCCCCCCAAAAGCAGGAGGTGGGGAGTCCCTCTTCCCAAGGCACCCCTGGATCTGTCTTCCCTTCTCCAACCCAAAGTCCCTAATATCCAGGGACACACTGAGAACATCAACTAAGTGGCCCCAGGCTCAGGCCACGATTCAGCAGCATCTGCCCAACTGAATGATCTGGCCAATTCAGGTGTCCCCAGCATAGTCTGCCCTCCCCTCCCACGACAGGACCCACCTTCGGAGGATTCAGCCCAGAGGTGGAACCTAGGGAAACCCACCCAGGGGAGAGAGACCAGAATCCCCAGACTAAGATGGGCAGAGAGCTCCCTCCTCAAGTTTCTGCTTGCAAAAGTCCAATCTTTTTCTTCAGCAGTAAGGTGCCCCTGCCACGATCCTGAGACCTGTTCTTTGTCCTTCCTTCTAGAAGAGGACCACGACCTTAGGAAGGTGATGCCATGACATGCAAGTGGATTGGATTTAAGTGTGCAAAGTCACCAGACTCACTTTCTCCTCCGGAGCCATCTGGGGCCAGTGGCCAGATACAGATCAAGACAACTGGAGATGGCCCTGGATGCGGTGGAGGACCTTGGCCTTTTCAAGCTAAGGTCTTTAACAGGTCTCATTTTTTTTTTCAATTTTTAAAATTAATTTATTTTGCTTTATCAATAACCACTTCCATATGCTTTTGAGTTTAAAATTTTTCTCCCCCTTCCTCCCCACCACCCTCCCCAAGACGGCGCACAATCTGATATAGGCTGTACATTTACATTCATATTAAACATATTTTCACATTAGTGATGTTGTAAGTAGAAATTAAAACCAACAGGAGGAACCATCAGAAAGAGGAAACAAAACTCAACAGCAGAGAAAAAAAAATAACAATTCGGCTTCCATAGTTCTTTCTTTGGGTGTGGATAACATTTTCCATCACAAGGCCTCTGGAGATGTCTTAGATCCTTATATTGCCAGAAAGGGTTAAGTTTATCAATATTAGTCATCACACAACGTGGTTGTTATTGTGTACAACGTTCTCTTGGTTCTGCTCACTTCACTCAGCATCAGACCATACAAGTCTTTCCAGGTTTCTCTGAAGTCAGCCTGTTCATCATTTAACAGGTCTCAATTTGACTGAGGCAGCATCCATTCAGCAATTAGGGCTTAAAAATCCTGAGGCCAGATCAAAAGTGGATCACCAGGCTGGAGCAAGCCGTCAGGAGAGTTGTGAAGTCAGACCCTATCTAGTGGGGCTGCTTAAGCCAGAGGTGCAGCTGAGCTTGTCTCTTGGGTTCCATTGCTAAAGGGGAATGTCTGGGCAAGCCAGGGTGGCCTAACACACAGGTCTTCCTCCCCTCCATGTTGTTGCTTAGAAAATTGTATTGGGAAGGTAGGGTCAAGATGGCAGAGAGGGAGGAAGCATCTTTGTGTAGCTCAGCCAATGCACCTACTCCACAACAACCTAGAAAAGGCACTGGACTTAATTTTGATCTGAAAAGTCAGAAAAAAGTCACAATGAGCCTAGGGCAGCTTAAGAAGATAGACTGAGACAGGGTCGTTCCAACAACAGAAGCAGAAAGGGAACGGAAAGAGACCACGAGAATGGGAATCCGCAGAGCAGAAAGATCCTGGAGGACCCCTGTCCTGGCACTGGGTACAAGAACAGGTGCCATCTGTTGCCCATCCCCCAGTTCGTGGTCAGAGATCCACAGTGGAGAGGAACAGTTATGAGAGAGCATGGAGCCTAGCTGAGGACTGAGCCAGGAATGAATTCTGGAAATGTAGCTGTATGGCTCTGAACCCAGGAGCAGTGCTGAGACTCAGTTCTGGCCTTTATTAACTCAGCTCATAAGTCAGCAGGGGAATAACCCAGTCAGGAGCCCCAAAGCAAAGGTGAGCTGGCAGTTC